TAATTATAATAACAATTATAAATTATAATAATAATTAAATATTATAATAATAATAAGTTGAGTAAATTGTAATTAATTATAAATTGTAAAAATAATATTAATAATTATAAATTATAAATGCTAATAATAATAATTATTATAAGAAATAATAATAATTTTTAATAATAATTATAATTAAAATTAATTATAATAATAATTACAAATTAGAATTAATTATAATTAATATTAATAATTTGTAATAATAATTATAATTAATTATAATAATTATTATAAATCTCAACAATAATAATTATAATAATAATTAAAATTATAATAATAAAATTATATATTAAAATAAAAATAAATTATAATCTATTTTAATAGTTATTAGAATAGTCATTACATATGGAAAAATTTAATAATTATATTTCTGATTCAGGGTGTTAGCAGACCTGGACAATCTAATGCCAGGGACGACGACGAGGCGTTCGATGACTATTATGATGGTTCTGGCACCCGACACACAAGAAGTCGGGGTGTCAATGCGTACGTTCGTCGGGACAGACAAGCGATGATCGATGAGGCTCGGAGGGTACAGATTCGTTAGGCTAGCCAGAGTTCGAGACCCCCCGCACCAATGCGAGATGGTCCGCAGGGATATCATTTTGAGGGCCAGCCAGATAGTTCGCGACTCCACGGAGTCCTCCCGTACGGTGAGCATGGATTTTATTATCCTGGCCAGGCATGCAGTTCGATGCCCCCAGCACTAGGACCGTACGATCAGTCGGGATATGCTTTTCCCCGCTACGCAGGGAAGTCGATATCTCCTCGCGCATGCGTACCATTACCCTATGGTCAGCAGGGGTATGCTGATGAGTCGTACGGCGAGAGGGAGCAGGGTCCAGAGGAGTGTGACTCGGACGACTCCTCAGATGATCAGGACCACGCAAAGCCTACGAGTCCTAGCCACCCTCGTCCTCCTGTACAGCCTGTTCGTCCGGTACAGGCTGTTCGTCCTACACAGGCTGTTCCTCAACGACAGGCTGGGGGGCGTTTTGGCCCATCTGCATCCTCATCAGGTAAATAATTTACGTATTTATTGTTGTTTAACATAAATTATTTTCACTTAATCATAACAAATTATCCGTACTGTTAGAAAAGTATTATCGGCCTGCTCCTCAACTACGGTTAATTATTTTGTAATTTAGAGGAACCATTAGAAAATTATTATAATTATTTTTATTATTGTTATAATCAATTAGTAGTAATGTTACATAATAAATTAGTTTAAAATTGTCATTATATTTTATTATTATAAAATGTAACGTTTGTACATTAATTGAAAAAAAGAACGAAAAACTTATGAAATATGTTTTATTAAATGTATTTTATTTAATGCATCTGCCAACAAGCCTATATATACAGATATGTTGTATTGTAATGCAGGTACTAGCAAACGAGCTAGGACCGATGATGATGCACCCTGGATCGTTAAAGGCCCAGTGGACGGTGGGCCCATTGATGGGAGTGTCATCACTAGCTTTCTAGGGCACGTCGCCTCCCGCATGTGGAGTGGACAGTTCAGGGGGCTGCTGAAATGCCACAACACACTGAGAGTGGTCGAGAATCTGAGGGATTATCGTGATGAGATGTCTTCCGATGCGAGAGCTCTGATCGACAAGACCGGGCTGTCACATCTGGCCGACTCCATGCACATCCACTTGGACACCCCACTCCTTTCTGCGTTTATGGAGCGATGGCAGCCGGATACTAACTCGTTTCATCTGCCTTTTGGTGAAATGAGCATCATGCTACACGACGTCCGAGCCATTTTAGGCGTTCTTGTGGAGGGAGTCGTGGTCGCTGAGGACCCGGATTCAGACGCCTACCATGGGCTCTGCATGTCGATACTTTCGGTTACCAAGGACGAACTCATGAGTTCGTTCTGGCAGCGTGGTTCGATGACCGGAGCCTCCATTGTGGGGGCATTCAGGGGGAAACACCGGCCGGCTAGGAATGAGGCGGGTGCCTGGATGTGGGTGATGCTGGCTACCACATTGTTCGTCGACAAGAGTGGTAGTAGAGTGACCCCCAAGCTCCTGCACGAGGTGCTCGACGGCTTAGATTTGATTGAGGGTTACTCATGGGGATCGGCTACGCTGGCATACATGTACAGACAGTTAGGTATTGCCAGCCGAGGGGACTCCAGTGGACTGTCGGGCTGCGGGGCTCTTCTGCAGTCCTGGATATATGAGTATTTTCCCGATTTTCGACCCCAGGGGCGTCTACCCATCGGTCCTGACTGTGTCGCACGATCTCGCTCGTGGAGCGTAGGGAATGCGCCAAGGTCAGACGATCGGCTCACAGCCATCCGTCGGCGCCTCGACAGACTCACTGCCTCGGATGTACGTTAAGTTATTTTATTTAAATTTAGTTACCCGTTATTTAAGATAATATAATTATTTTTATATATGCTTTTATGCAATTGTGAACAGGTACAATGGTTGCCATACGGCAGCTCCAGCCCAGATGCGATAGAGCCGAGGACTCTTTATAGCGGATTGATTCGATACCGCGATGTTGTCGAGCCGTACTTGCCTGCGCGGTGTCAGCGTCAGTTGGGGTATGTCCAGACTATCCCTCCCCCTACATACCCACCAATCAGTGCAATACGTGCTTGAGAGTCTAGGAACTACAGGGTTGAGCATTTTGAGGCTGCTGCAGTAGGTGCCTGGACCTAGTTCCCGATTTCTGGGACGGTCAACACCGCTATGTTCACCCCCACCACGCATGATCGCGGGGAGGCAACTGAGGATTACTTGCAGTGGTACAGTCGGGTTTCCCATCCGACTCTCATGGGCGAGGAGCTGCCGGACGAGAAGGAGGTCCCTACGCGTGTCAATACCGCCTATGTAAGTTGGTTACTAAATTTTAATTAATGTTATTTCATTACAATAATTTTTTTTAAATAAACTTTAGTCATATCTTTTTATTCTTCCATTTTTTTAGTGGGTGGACCGTCTTTTGGGCATTACATCGACCATGCAGCAGTTCCTTATTGAATGTCCGGAGGCGGCGCAAGTCCAAAAAGATTTTGCTAAGTTTAAGTTGGATTACAACAATGCCCAATAATGATGTAATGAATGTTTTTTTTAGTATTATTGTAAAACATTAAGTTCAATGATTTTTTTTTTATTTATTATTTATAAAACATTAAGTTGAATGGTTTATATTAAAAATGAAAAAAAAAGTACCGTTAATGCGATTTTCGATTGCTACGTAACATGATCGTATGTTCCTGCTCTTCGAGAGACGCTCGTTCTCCTGAGAGTCCCGATGGGTCGACTCAGGAGAACGAGCGCGTCTCGAGCGCAGGGACATACGTTCGTGTACAGAGCAATCGAAATCGCATTAACGGTACTTTTTTTTTTTTTTTTTAGTATATAAATCATTCAAATATAAACCATTCAAATTAATGTTCGTTTATTTGCTAAACTTAAGTTGAATGTTTTATTTTTTTTTTGCTAAACTTAAGTTGAACTGATTCAATTTTTTTTATTTGATAAACTTAGGTTGAATGAGAAGCGTCATACCACAAGTGTATAATATCGTTCTTTTGTTGAACCGAATAATATCGTTCTTTTATTCAACAAAGTCTATTTTGAACAGTATACCACAATCGCAACCTAGCCTCATACTGATCCTCCCAACCCACAACCGATCGATCTCGGTAACAGAACCACATGGGTTCAATAGGCGGTAATGGACAATCAGGAGTCAAAACTAAACGAATGTAGTGTTCTACGCTGCCAAGATGACACATGACAATCTCACAACATGGTTCTCTAGCCGATGATCGTGTAATGAGAGGCAACACTGTGATGCTGAAGAAGTTGTGCTGCCCAC